ACACCAGAGTGGTTGACGTCATTACTAGCACAGGTATCTTGAGGAGACCTACATCCAGAATAATAGTCCTGGTACCCGCGACGCCTCCCAAATGATGGTGCTAACGCACGGGGGGGAGATTGTTGGCGACGCGCCTATAAGAATATTTCAGTTTATTAAGTCAACCGATGACGAATAACGTCTCAAAGGCATATTGTCCAATAGCAATGTTCTTATAAGAAAATGCTTAGTTAAATCTTGAAGAAACGTCGAATTAATGATATGAAGGTCTTGGGTTCGACTCCCAGGCCGGACTAGTTTATTGTTTTCCTAAGTAATATCGCTTAATAAATTCATAAGGAATTTAAGATATAAATTATGTTACCGGATTTGTTCCCCGGTTGAAATCATCTTTCCAATGATGTAAATTTAAAAGAATATTAAAGTGAAGTTAGAGATCGGATTTGTTCCCCAGTCGAGATGATCACTCTGTGCATATATAGAATTAATGGAAATTAATTGCATAAGTATTGTTTTATATGAGTTTGATATGTTTTGTACGAAAACAAATGCCTATTTGCCATGATTGATTTATGAGAACATTCACTTATATTGTTATCTGATAAGAAACATGATAACTGATAAGAATCTGATTAGAAATAGCTTCCTACAGTTTGAAAATTGTGTAGATGCATTTATTCACCCAATATTGTTAAAATTGGTGTATATCAGACTTTAATTTTTTCTGATAGCCGAGAGCCGTGCAAAAGTTAGTTGTTCAAATAGTGTGAGTTCATAGACGCACGCTAGCCACGTACTTAGGAGGCCAAATATGTAAAAATTTAAATATTTGTAATTTCAGCAATTTATGTAAAAATGACTTGTAAAACATTTCAGGTTGATTGTACGTGCTAAAAAGGTGAATTCTTTATTATTTTTATGTGAAAATTCCTGTGTATAAGTGAAATAATGATGGTTTTGTGTAAGAAATTTAAAAGTGTTTTAATAGTGAAATAAATAGAGAAAATGTAAATTAAACTATTGTATTAGTTAATTTATGTATAATTTCAAGTGGAAAACATTGTTTCAACTTTCTGTGTTAAATATTTAGGAAATTTCGACTTCGAACTTGTGAGTAAAATAGGCATATTTCATTTAATAAATAAAAGGTTTTTCGTGATATGAAAATGTAATGTATATCGTAGTGTAGATATTGTTTTGTGCTATCTATACAGATAAATTGTATTGATGTAAGACTTATGCAAATAAAGTAATTAAGTAAAACGTGAGAGAGTAATAGAACAAATTCATGTAATTGAGTTGCGCAAGCGCGCGAATGGCGCGGCTCACTTTCGCGTATAGCTCTGGGGTAGCTTAGTGAACGGGTTTTATTGCAATTCGTTCGGGGAAGTTCGGAGAAACTTCGGGGAAAAAGTTCGGAAATCAGACCAGCAGTCAATAAGAAGAAAGAAAAAGTGTAGGGAAGTGATAGGGAAAAGTGATTACTCTCTCACGGAACGGTTTGAAGATAATTGCTGTTTTATTCCCAAGAAATTCATCCCTCAAGTTATACAGTCCACATCGAAGAATTAAGGCGTTGGGACCGGGACGACTTCGGAAGACCCGTAATCCCCGTCTGAACCTTCTCGCTGAAAAGGAAGAGGTTATCGCCCTTGTTTGTTACTCCGTTGCGGAGATCAAATACGTTGTTCCCGAACCCAACGTAGGCGTTATAGGAGGCCGGATCGAGAGAAGCCTCGATTCCTCTCTTCTGTTTCTTAATCGAACGTTTAATCCTCGTTGGTCCTTTTCAATTGGTCCTTCGCGGCCAGATCAAGAGGATCCCCGAACCTGGGTTCCTTTTCAGTATCCTTTCCAGTCCAGTAGCTTGAAAACGTCTTCCAATGTAGCAGTGAAGAGTTTCGGGGATATAAAGTTACTCTGTCTTACACCTCTCTGCATTTGGATAGGTTTCGTACTCTGGTTCTGTATTCGGATTGCCATCGTAGCCCTACTGTACAAACACTTCAGCACTTCGATATACCGACAGTTAACTTGGCGCTGAAGAGACTGTGGCACCGCCCAATTATTATTAATATACACCGCTATAATTATTAATATACAAATTAAAATTCATAATAAAATTGAATCAAAAGAGAGTAAACCACAACTTATTATATACGCGGAGATCATGCAAGGCAATTATTTTCCAACGAGGAATACGCAGATATCTTTTATCTCTATGGATATTGTGACGGACAACTTTTTCCAAACAGAAGATAAGTAATTAAAAATAAAAATGATTTTGTGAAAAATAATTGTATGTGATCAATTGTACAAATCATGTTAAAAACATCCCTATTTATCTAGCTCTACAATGAGGTCAGGTAGTCGAGTTCTAAGCAAACAAAGGAATTTGTGTTTTATTTTTAACCAATATTAATCTCCTTCTTCCATCACATGCACTGGTGTGTAGTGGTACGTATAAAGCCCCGCAGTAGCAAAAATCAGACCTTCCACTGCGATACACCTAAGCGACGAGCAACTATGTTCGTGGAAGTGGTTGGATCTTCTTGAAATTTACTCAAAATTTCTTCATCTTCTGTGACATGGGGTGGTCGACGATTAGGGTAGCGCTGTAGGTATTCACGGCGAGCAGCTGCAGCGTCACCGTCACAATATCTATAGAGATAAAAGAACGTATCTGCGTATTCCTCGTTGGAAAATGATTGCCTTGCATGATCTCCGCGTCTTGGTGGTTCCGCCGCCATAAAACTTTGAAACTCAACTTCTTTAACTGTAACAGGGAGGGATATGCGCGCGTGTGTACGATGCCTGTTCTAATACTGATGACTGATTGAACAGTTTCTTCTTGTTTAACTTGTTTCTAATTTCACACTAAATGTAAACAATAGCGTAAGTTCAAACGCACAATCTTTTACGAGCATTCCCGCAGCTGTTGATAAGGTTCCGAGAAGCGATTGTTTGGGATTACCCAAAACATTGCTACTCGGAACTTGTCTACCTGGCCCCTTTTTTTTCAAGTTTTTTCTGTACTATTTAAGTTACAAGCTAAATTGATACTTCGTTGGGTAGCTAGATAAGTAGGGATGTTTTTAACATGATTTGCGCCCTCCTTTCTGCCAAGGAGGGTCGCGTTCGTATACGGCTTAGAGATCTCTAGTTAGACCGTTAAGCCAGTCCCTAAAAGGCGGTGTTTAGTGGGTAAAAGTCTCCACATAACCACGCAGCCGGCTGCGTGGTATGCTATGAGCATTCACCGCCTCCCTCCCCCGCTTTCCGAAGGGTTGCCCATATTTGCTTCGGGCGCAAAAAAAAATAACATGATTTGCACAATTGGTCACATACAATTATTTTTCACAAAATCATTTTTATTTTTAATTACTTATCTTCTGTTTGGAAAAAGTTGTTATGTTAGTAGCGTTACTTCGAAAATGATGAGACTTTTTGCACACTGTAGTATTGATAAATAAGTATCCAGGTTTTCATTAAGTAAAAATAATAAAATGAAAATAATACAGCTGTAAGTTTTTTTTTAGAAATTTTTGACACCAGACTTTTGGGATTTTTGAAAAAAATAATTAAACCTAAATATCTCGAAATTGGTCCACATTTGCATAATGCATTTTATGGTTCATTTGATAGGTTATGACCCCAACTATCACGCTAGTAACCCTATATATAAGGCGTAGGGAATTGACGACCCCATTGCCCACAGACTGAACAGTTAAGTAACAAAACTACTACGTCAGCGCAGTCAGACAGCCCCTTGCCAAGAAGTGTGAGCGCCGTGCCTCGGCGGAATTTAGGGTGCAAAAGCCCGTTTGTGCTTATGGCCGCACACGATACGGTGCCGGGCCTGTGCGCCTCCCGTTAATTGACGACCAAAATATGGATGATGGACAAAAAAATAGAGCGCAAAGGGCTGCTGCCTGGAGGTCGCCAGGACGTGTCTAGAGCTGGCGCTGGACGCGACAGCATGCGGGCCACCAGCCGAGCGCGGGGTGCTGTAAGACCACCTAGCAGCCCCCCGCATCCATCATCCCCACCAAAAGGCTTGGTGTTGGCTGGGTCTTTTCAAACTCAGCAGGTGGCACCCGCCGCTGGTGGAGCATGTCGCATGCGTTGGTCACAAACAATGAATGCAAACGCATTGCGCGCGTACTTTAGGGCAAAATGGGAAGAATCTGGTATCGGGCTCGGATGCATCACTTTTTTGTAGAGCTGGAGCCATCTCTAACCGTCACTGCACAAAACCTGGCAGACCGAGTTCGGTACATCCTGCGCTCCAATATTGGTGACGCTGAACTCGAACGACTATGACTTGAGGCTGTTCCCTCGTCGGATGAAAACGGCTGGGAATGCGGCGCCACTAACAGCACAGCAACCTGCATACGTGGATGCCGACGTAGATATTCTAGTTTTTGTTGATTCGGACGATGATTGAATAGTCTCCCACAAACTAGAGAAAATGAGGAGCATATTTGAAGACGCGATGTCGGAAACGCCCAGTACGCCTCTCGAAAATCGACCGCGACTTCCCCACATACCTCTAAGCAAGTGGAATCTGGCTGTCGTGGGGGCTCTTAACCCTATGCTGGTAGCCTGGTAGTATTTGAAAGGCAGCCGAGACCTTTGCGAGACGGACTCAATTCTATTTGGCGCTGCAATGGCAGTTTGCCGTATTATTGGCACTAAACTTCCCACGGCTGGACGCGCTACTAGATAAAGTAGCGCCATCCCAGCCTGGAGAAAAAGAATTGATGACCGTATCGCAAAGGCAAGGTCCCTCATAGGCAGACTGACAAGCTTCAGGTCGGGTAATAATAGGCCAAGAGTTGTGCGCGCCGTTAGAAAGGCATTTGCTGGGACAAATATCAGTTTGTCCCAGCCTGATGTCATGCAGCGGAGCATGCATGCGAAGCGCATAGATGACCATAAGCAAAGTATCCCTGCTTAGGGGAAGCGGATTCGGGGATATACCGAGAGGTTAAGGCAGTTCAATCAAAACCGTCTCTTTCAGAGTGATCAGAAGAGGCTCTATAAATCATTGGAGCGACCAATGGTATGCGGAGCGGGCCCAGTACCGCTACTAGATAAAGTAGCGCCATCGCAGCCTGGAGAAAAAGAATTGATGACCGTATCGCAAAGGCAAGGTCCCTCATAAGCAGACTGATAAGCTTCAGGTCGGGTAATAATAGGCCAAGAGTTGTGCGCACCATTAGAATGGCATTTGCTGGGACAAATATCAGTTTGTCCCAGCCGGATATCATGCAGCAGAGCATGCATGCGGAGCGCATAGATGACCAGAAGCAAAGTATCACTGCTTAGGGGAAGCGGATTCGGGGATATACCGAGAGGTAAAGGCAGTTCAGTCAAAACCGTCTCTTCCAAAGTGATCAGAAGAGGCTCTATAAATCATTGGAGCGACCAACGGTATGCGGAGCGGGCTCAGTACCAGATTAGGCCGACACTGTCACATTCTGGTGCGGCCAGAAAGGCGCGAAAAAGAAACATGAAACGTCAAACGTGATATAATTTTTGACAAATAGTATAATTTTATTTTCCCCGTACAGTATTTTAGAGGGTCTGAATCCAACCCTGGCCAAATCTTGGTAACGTAACTAAACTGAGTAACTGTAAACTAAAACTTTAAAAATGCGTTAATATAATAAGTTAATTGTTACAAAATTAATATAAGGTTAGTTACCGATAATACGATATAACATGGCCTTTTTAACCTTTTGTAACGCCCTCTATTATTTTTATTAGAATATTATTATATTTTATATTGTTATTATATTATATATTATTTCCCCTTTATATTAAAAATATGTGACCAGGATTAATAAATATGTTTTGATCTTTTTAAATGATATTTCTAATACAAAATATAATTTTTGGCGTGATCATCGTAGTTGGAACCCTTATTTACGCTGTGTTTGTTTAGTAACTTAGTTCTTATAGGCGTCTTTTGGAAGAATGAGTATACTCGTACACTAAATGAATTAAAAGCTCTTGGTAGTCCCTTACAAGCTAAGTGAACCCCGTTCACAAAGATGGGGCTCGAGAAAGGTTAAGAACATTAAAACTAGGGACGTTTTACGTTCCACTTGTATCAGGTTTACATTATTTATTTATTTCATATATATATATATATATATATATATATATATATATATATATATATATATATATTTAAAAATGTGGGGGAGGCACACGGCCCTACACATACCGTGCGCGGTGAGCGCCACCATTTGCCGCTTCCCCATCAGGAGAAGTTAAGTTGGGAACTGGACCGTAGTCGGCAAATTGGCAAACCAGTTAAAGAGGGTTTGGCCCCTTGATAGTGCGTAAGCACAAACTTCGATCGAAATAGCGCATGTCATGTGTAAACTCCATACAGAATACGAACAAATCCAGCCACAGTGAATATTCGTCACACGGTTTAGGCAAATATGCACACTGGCCATAAACCCTCCGTGAGCGCCACCACCTGCCAGCCGCCGTTCCTGCAGACGTGATGTAAGTTTATGGCATCACTACCGATTGCATGATCAGCATGGCTACTAGCCGTAGAGCGTGTCATGAATCTACCGTTCACCTCAAAGGAATGGGATCCCACGTTGTGTGGCTTTCGGCCACAGCCTTGAGAATCTCCTCAGATCCTCCCTCCAGCTACCACCCGCATGAGGTCGACACATATGCTCCACCAACCAATACAACGGCATATATAGCTAAAAGGCAGTCATAAGATAATGGTAATAATTTGCCATCTGAAAGGGTTTGTGTCACTGACGTTGAGTAAATGCATTTTTAATCACGTTTGTCTCGCCCACCAACAAGTTGCCTTCAATCATTCAAAGGTGGCAAAGTTACAGAAATATATTATTTTGTTGTTATATAAAACATCATAGAGGTCAAACAGTTTCCAGCTCCGTAATGAAGGGACCCAATTTGGGCAAAGCCACTTAGTTGTGAGTCAAACCAAGATGCAGAGAGCGCCATTGAGAATAGCGTCCCACCAAACAATCATCGCAGAGACGCAACGCTGCAGAACGCAACAAGCATTAATACAACTATCGTCAAACTTACACCATCCCAACGTCCCCCATTCATCCCAGCAGGCATCATCAGCCGCATACTTCCATCGACCAGAACTACAAGAATGTATCGAATCAGGCGCAGCACAACCGCAGATTCATCACAAGACGCAATACCGCAAGTAGCAGTAAGCATCAATGCAACTATCATACGGATGGCGCCCCCTCACAACACAAAAAAAGGGATTATGTGGGTGTGTTGTCGACTTTGGTCACGCTTGTGGACAAATCTCCACGTATCATAGCGCTAACGCACTAAAACATGAAGTTGAATATGCTTGTTACACTTAAAAGTGCCACCAAACACACTCATCCCGATCCGAAAGATAGACGACGTATCGCTATGCGCTACGATGCCGTCCACAAATGGTATGATGTCCACGGGAAAACTGTATTGCTAAAACAAACCCGCTTACCACCGACACTAAGATGATATGTCTAGGACACATCGGTTAGCGAGTCCAAGTTTACCTCGGTCGCAGTTGCTTTTTCAAGTCCCATTTCTATTAATATAATGTTTCAACGTATTTGAGACCATATTGCTTTTATACATGCTATAGCTAATTACTTATAGTCATGACTTTTTAATGTTTAGTTTGAATTTCTCAGCAATGCTTTTGTTAATCTGATTTATCACGTGTTCGGCGGTGATGAAATCCGCATATGTAAGTTAAATAAAAATAATATGTTTGGTCCGCCAATACATACATTGAAACAGTGCAGCGGCCTTTTCTTAAACATCAGAAACTAGAAAAGCCTTTACTAGACAATAAAGCTAAAATAAATAACTAAAAGTAAGCTAAATATAATATATTAAAGATTGTCCTTCAGAAAGGGACAAACAAAATAAATAATAATGCCACGAAACCTATTAACTTCCAATTATTGTGTTAATGCTACGAATTTTTTCTGCGTTACTCAAAAGGATGCACAACAAAGACCGGAGAACTTTCTCAAAGTATAAAAATAAAGTTGTTAGCGCTTCTTCTTATCTGAGACAGGAGACGGGAAAGTGAAATTATTTTTATTTATTTTATTAAATCAAGAAAAATAACGGCTATTAGCTAGTAATTACCTAAGTATAACCGGCTCCAGTGCTTTTATTAGTTCAAATATCGACATCACGAATAAAATTTCGCAATGTTAGAGATTTTGAGTAAAGAAGTAAACGAAAGACTTGTCCATTGATATTCATCAAGCAACAACACGATCACAAATCGATGGATGCAAATGGCTCAGGAAAGATTGAAATTGAAAAAAAATTGGAAAATTGCATCCATCGACTTCCTGCATGTCTTGCCAGGGCGTCACTTCATCTAGTGACCCCCCCTCCCCCTCCCCCCAAATAAATATATGTGAGAATATTAATATCAAAAAGACAAAAAGTCGTGGAAACGAGACACAAATTATCAAACATGATTGTAGTCTAGTTATCCTGTACGCTTTGACAGCGCGCGACATGTTATACTCCCGTTCGCTTGGGACCTCAAAATGGCGGCAAATGAAAAATTTTCCCTAACTTGCAAATTCTGCTATATTTTCACTTTAAGACAATATTTTTGAATAAAACTTACTTATTCTTCTTGAATGTATAAACTATCGAATAAAATAATTTTTGGATGTTAGATATAGTAATAAAATTCATAAATTACCCTTTAAAATGCATAGTAGTAGTAAATACTCCACTTTTAGCCACGAAAATATTAATAAAATAATTTCCACAAGTTTGTTCTTCGAGAAATCTATATGAAAATGTTTGGAAATAAATATAATTTTATGTTTTTATATGGTTTTTATTCGTAACCCATACAAAAAAAAACAAATAAATAGGAATCAAACATAACCCTTGTTTTCCGAAATTCAATTTTATTATATGAACTTTGAAACACTATTTCTCTAATATTTTTTGTGATTTTGAAATAAATACCACACCAAATTATTTGAAATATGTAATATAATTATTTTTTATTTACATTATACAGTAAAAATAAATGAAAATCGAAAAATACATTTCTTACTCAACCACGAAAACGGAGGTTTTTCAACATAAATTCACATATAACACATTCAAATATGTTTCGACACAAATGAAATATGTTTAGAAAAGTACATTTTTATTATTATTTACAATAAACATATACAATTCAATGCACAAAATACAAAACACAAGAAATAAAATATATTTGAACAAATGTATGGAGCAAATAGTGATGTGGCGTCGCTGGTATATTTATCGATAATTTTTTGCAATGTAGCCGGCAATAATCAAATTCGGTTGTTTGACTTTTTGTAATGATTTTACATTGAAATTACAATAAATTTATTCTTTTACAATTTCTGAATGAATTTTTATAGAACCAGCATGGTGGCGATCACCTCATTCACCGGGGTTATTATAATAACCCTTTTTGTACAATTTTACTTTTCAAATTAAATATTCTTTCAGTCCACATTCTTTCAGTCAACATTCATACCCATTCATATCCTTCTTGAACTCACTACTGAGGACGAGGAGGAGACCGGAGACCCTTTTTACTGGAAACGAGGCATTCCATCTTAGTCCTCACAGGTCACGGATAGATGTAGATGTCAAAGGGCCAGTGCAAACACTTACCATCAGTTGGACTGTGTGCTCAACCACTTACCATCAGGTGGACTGTGTGCTCGTTTGTCACCCTTACCTATAAAAAAAGACGAAAGGAGGAGACCGGAGATCCCTTTTTACTGGAAACGAGGCATTCCATCTTAGTCCTCACAGGTCACGGGGGATAGATGTAGATGTCTAAGGGCCGCTGCAACCGCTTACCATCAGGTGGACTGAGTGCTCGTTTTCCACCGTAAACTATAAAAAAAATGAAAGGAAGGAAGAAAAAGGGAAGGACCACGCTTTCACAGAATACAAGCTCGATACTGGTGAGGTAGAGGAGACCAGAAACCCTTTTTTACTGGAAACGACGTCTTCCATCTTAGTCCTCACAGATCACGGGGGAGTAGATGTAGATGTCTATGGGCCACAGCAATCACCTACCATCAGGTAGACTGTGTGCTCGTTTATCACCCTAAAGAAACCGGAAAGCCTTCGACCCTTTTTACTGGAAACGAGGCATTCCTCACAGGTCAATGGGCCACACCAACCACTTACCATCAGGTGGACTGTTTGCTCCTTTGTAACCCTCCGCGAATTCCACAAAACTCCGTAAATACCTTTACGGAGTTTCATGAAATTCCATAAAGCATTTTTGCAGACAGAGCGCCAGCCCACACTGCATACACTCAAACGACGTGAGTGTTCTGCGGTGCTTGCGTTCCGTGCACCACACACACGCACGTCGTTTGTATTTCTTTGGCGGTCTCTCCGCCGCATCTGCCGTTGTCTCTCGACTTGACTTGGAATTCTTGATTCTTGGCATGGGTATGCGGCGAAGGTAGTGGCGCTCTGTCTGCCTTTGTAATGGAAAGGTAGGGTGTCTTTGGTGTTGAGCAGGGCTTGGCTGGCGAGGTACCATTTTGAGATGGCGGTTCATAATGCCGTCAACCAACGCCAACCGAAACGCTACGGAATCGAGTTTGGTGTTGGTTGATTTCTCAACAATGACCCTTGCGTTTTGAATGGAAACATTCAAAAGGCGTTTGAAAACTTTCCGGTTCCATTCCAAACATTGTTTCCGCTCGACTAGATAGGTCTTCAGCATCGAGTCAAGGCGGTCAACTCCCCCCATGTACCGATAATAATCGTTTATCAAATCGAGCTTGTATTGTGCAGTGTGGCCCGAACGTCCGGCAAATAGTTGTTGCGAGATGCCATGGTATGTTGAGATACAAGTCACTCGCTTGCGATCTTGTAGCGCAACAACCATGACGTCGTCGGACGCACGGGCAATAAATTGCCCTTCCTGTAAGGGTGCACGTTTGATGGCTTCTGGAACCCCTTTGCGAGTCGGCCGCAGGGTACCGACGCAATCCGTGTTGCGGCGTTTTAGCCAACGAGCCAGGGAGGGGGAATTGAACCAATTGTCCATGTACAGCGTGTGCCCCCGGTTGAGGAGAGGTCGTACGAGCCTCAACACAGAGGACACGCTGAACGGTACCCTACTCCCTGTCTCGCGGCCTGCATACACGAAGAACGACCAAAGGTATCCTGTGGCCGACTCGCACAGTTGCAAGGTTTTTATACCAAACTGGGCTGCCTTGGACTTTATGTATTGTTGAAACCTAACTGGCCCTTTCCAAAGAGTTAGCGATTCATCAATACATATGTTCCGGTCCAGCTGGAACTTGGCATTCAAATGGTCGATAATGGGACCCATTGGGTGCAGCGGATTATTAGGGTCTGTCCCCTCGGCCAAATGTAATGCCGCATTGAGGTTCCAGTAGCGGCCTTCCGTGAATAATGCGCGAAATACGTCAGTCCTCAGTAGTGGGTGCTTGCAGAAACATGATTTAATGCTTGGCATTCTAATAATGCCAAGCATGATCCAAAATGCCATTAGCGCCCAGATTTCATGTAGATTGGTCTGAAACCAATCTTTCATGAAACCTGGACGTTGCTGTGCCAAAACTGACTCGGCATACCGGTTCTTTTCGTCAGCAATATGGGCCATGATGTCATCTGTTCAGATGGCATGCATGGCCTCATATGGATCGTGAAACAAAACGGTAGGCCCAGTCTGTTCTGACACAAAATGGCATTGCCTGCCATTCCACTCGTTCATCCCTCGCCACTCAAAACTATCATCTTCATCCCAATCCCATTCATCCTCCCTCACATTCTCCTCTTCCTGATTTGCAGTTATCCTTCTTCTTTCGTACCTCTCCCTCCTAATGGAATGATCACGGATTTGCCCCTGAATATCCAAGGGCAAATCCGTGTCATTCGAGAAGACTTGCACGAAGGGTGCTCCGCGCAACCAACCCACGCTTCGGCTACGGCCACGGCCACGTCCACGACCACGCCCGCGTACAGACGCGGTCCCTCGCCGCTGACGTGCCGCCGCCGTGTCCAACACCTCCACCATGAAGCGGGTTGCGGGGCCTGGAGCACCCTCTGGAGCAGGTAAATTCTGTTGAAAAATGAACACGTTGTTATTGTGCTGCAAACATATATATATATATATATATATATATATATATATATATATATATATATATATATATATATATATATGTATAAGTAAATATTTATATATATAAACAAATATTTATATAAACATATATAAATTTATATAATATAAATATATATATACATGTAAATATATATATATATATATATATATATATATATATATATATATATATATATATATATATATATTTATTACTTACTTCCACTCTGCGGGGTGCGGGGCCTGGTACAGCCTCCGGAGCAGCCACTGGAGCTGCAACCGGAGCCGGAGCAGGTGACCCCTGTTGAAATACGAGTAATAAACACATTTTTATTAGGCTGCAAACATTTATATATAATAAATGTAAATAAATATTTATATAAATACTAGCTGAAATATAAAAATTTACATAGAAACGTTTCATTACTGATGTTTTGTATTACTTACTTCCACTATGCGGGGTGCGGGGCCTGGTACAGCCTCCGGAGCAGCCACTGGAGCTGCAACCGGAGCCGGAGCAGGTGACCCCTGTTGAAATAATTAACACATTTTTATTGGGCTGCAAACATTTATATATACTCGTAATAAATATAAATAAATATTTATACAAATACTAGCTGAAATATAAAAATTTACATAGAAATGTTTCATTACTGATGTTTTGTATTACTTACTTCCACTCTGCGGGGTGCGGGGCCTGGTACAGCCTCCGGAGCAGCCACTGGAGCTGCAACCGGAACCGGAGCAGGTGACCCCTGTTGAAATAATAAACACATTTTTATTGGACTGCAAACATTTATATATAATAAATATAAATAAATGATTGATGCTATAAATATAAATATATATAACAGACACCTCCGCAGGCTCTACCAGCAACTCCGACAGGTCCCCCCATGACCTGTCGGACCGCACATAGCAAATTGGCATGCTCTGTTGAAAAATGAACCCGTTAATATCTATAAGTGTCTATTTATTATACTTGTGTGTGATGTTACATATAAATATTACTTACAGATACATCCCAGTCATCTTGTTCCCCAACCTCTTCATCGATGACCACTTCTTCGGCTTCCTCCTCATCGAGAAGGACATCGATGAAGACCTGGGGAACTGGGTTGTTTCTGGGGTTCCACATGCTAAAAAAGAAAATAATAATTGTTACATACCATAGTACATAGTTATGCCTATCATATTATATATATATATATATATATATATATTCATGTTATATTATATATATATGATATATAGGGATAAATATATATCATCATCATCATCATCACAGCCCTTCACAAGTCCACTGCTGAACATAGGCCTCCCCCAAGTAATGCCACAAAGCACGGTCCTGAGCCACCTGCATCCATCGACTTCCTGCATATCTTACCAGGTCGTCACTCCATCTAGTGGGGGGTCGTCCTACACTACGCCTACCGGTACGAGGCTGCCACTCGAGAACCTTTCTTCCCCATCGGTTATCGGTTCTTCGAGCTATATGGCCGGCCCATTGCCACTTCAGCTTACTAATCCGTTGAGCTATGTCGGTCACTCTGGTTTTACTGCGGATATCCTCATTTCTGAGTCTATCACGCAGAGAAACTCCGAGCATAGCCCTCTCCATAGCCCGCTGAGCGACCTTGAGCGTCCTCATACGGCCAGCAGTGAAGGACCACGTCTCAGATCCGTAAGTCATCACTGGCAACACGCACTGGTTGTACAATCTAGTTTTTAGAGATTGAGGTATACTTGACGAGAAGATATGTCGTAATTTCCCGAACGCTGCCCAGCCGAGTTGAATCCGTCGATTGACCTCTCGGTCGAAGTTGGACTTACCTAGTCGGACTATTTGTCCCAGGTAAACGTACTCGTCAACAACTTCGAGCATAGTGCTCCCAACAACTACCGGCGTAGGTGTGACATGGACATTAAACATGATCTTTGTTTTGTCCATGTTCATCTTAAGACCTATCCGTTGGGAGGCACTATTGAGGTCATTGAGCATAGTGCTTAAGTCCTCCAGCGATTCTGCCATAAGGACTATATCGTCGGCAAATCGAAAGTGAGTGATTTACTCGCCATTGATGTTAATACCGTATCCTTTCCAGTCCAGTAGCTTGAAAACGTCTTCCAATGCAGCGGTGAAGAGTTTCGGGGATATAACGTCACCCTGTCTTACACCTCTCTGCAGTTGGATAGGTTTCGAACTCTGGTTCTGTACTCGGATAGCCATCGTAGCCCTACTGTACAAACACTTCAGCACTTCGATATACCGACAGTCAACTTGGCACCGCTGAAGGGACTGTAGCACCGCCCAAATTTCGACGGAATCAAAGACTTTCTCATAGTCCACATACGCCATGCAAAGTGGCAGATTGTACTCAGATGCGTTGTCACCCGTGAGGACTAAGATGGAATGCCTCGTTTTCAGTAAAAAGGGTCTCCGGTTCTCTACACTCACCATACGAAACACAGCAGCATTAAGCTACTATTTCACGCTGGTATTCTATGAGAGCGTGGTCCTTCCCCGGGCGAGCCGACCCATTCGTGCTACAACTATACATCTAATATAACTGCAGCATGGCTCTACCACATATATTGGATCCGACTCGGTCTAGCGTGAGTCAACCTTAACTTGGCGAGTTGCTCGTGCCGATAATCTAAACTTGGCCATTATAATGACGCCGCTAAACCCACTCCTAAGTCTGTGCGAGCAATGCGGCTTAAAAGCTAAGCTAAGTTATTAAAGTTACAATATAATAATAGCTATAGTCTTTTTTCCGTAATGTCAGGTATATAAGAAAATGCAACTGCATTTTTGTGTTAAGGACCTCGTTAAATTTCCTCTGACGATAAAATAAAGAAAATGCACTTTCATAAGAAACTACAATAGTTGTGAAACACGTCGCCTAACAGCGTAAAGCACGTATAACTCGACTTATCTTTCAAGAAACTAGTTAGTTAAATTAACTTATAGTTACATGTGAGTAGCTGAAACATTACTCAGCTTGTATTTCAGTATCGATCCGCCCATATTTTCTTATAATAGGGTATAGGCTTATAATAGGGTATTTTGCCGAAAATACTATAATTATATCGAAAATCATTATTTGAGTTTGAAAGAAAGTACAAAATAGTGTTCGTGCATGGTAATACATAAAATTATCTGAAAATGTCCACCATGAAAACATTTATAGCCGACGTTATTACAAGTCGAGCTTATGTGATGCACTCCGCTGTTGATAGTTGGATTAAATATTCTAACTGAAAACACTTTCTATGTATAAAGGGGATATATATCTATAGTTCTAAAAAATGATACTCTAAAGTAATTAGAATAATTGACATTTATTATGAAAAGTGTATAACGGCTATTTTGCCATTATTCGTTTCAGATAAAGCTGGAAAAAATATAAGATACCGCTTCTTGTGCTTTTATTTAAAGGTGTATTTTACGCATCATTCATTTTTTTATAATTACGTTAAGTTTTCATAGTTTCCCATATTTACGTGTACGATATATATGGATATGACACATCTCTATCTCTAACCTCGACAGACTAATTTAGTTAGAGAATCGTAATGGTTTCATATCTCGTAGGCTGGGTGGTCTATGATCGTATAATTGATAACGATTTTCGACTGCGAAACTTCCAAAACGAGGTGAAGCAGCCATCAGCGCCTTGCCGAATTCAGACATGACAAGTGGGGTAATCTGCTGGAGGATATCGAGCCATTACAAATTGCTTTCTAGCAGTTGACCCGCGCTCTGAAAGTGATAAGAGTTCTTACCAATGCCGCCTCTCATCAGGTCAGGAAACCCTGTTCTCGCCTTTGACGTCTCTGAAAAGGCTGAATGCCACGCGGACAGTTTGAAGAGCCAATGCACTCCCTCGCGAACCTATAGATCCCGTTCACCTTGCAGATGTCGAAGCAGAGGTTTGCACTACCGGCTGTGGGAGAACCCTTAGATTCTGTGACAGTCGACGAAGTCACAGAAGTAATAAAAAGCCTCGAAAAGGACTGAGCACCCACCCCGATGGCATCAGCAACAGGGTGCTTAAATCCCTCTCAGCGCCACTTATTTGCCTGTTAATAGGCTTTTCAACGCCCTTCTCACCAGCTGTCTTTTTCCGGATGTCTGGAAAGAAGCAGACGTTATGGGAATCCCTAGACCTGGGAAACCGCGCAACTTAGCCTCCAGCCAGATCAATTAGTCTCATCAGCACACCGGGGGAAATATACGAGCGACTCACACTAAATTTCCTCCTATAATACGGCTTTGCTAATAAACTTCACAGGTAGCGGATTTTCTTACATGGCCACTAGACGGCAAAATAGCTTTTAATAGGTTCAAATATTGATATATATATAGTATAATAATATATAGTAGTCTCTGTAAATAATAAAGTAGCACACACAATTTTACACAAAATATGGTACTTTTTCTCTTTCTTTGCCAGCCCGTGAAATTGCACTTCTGAAGATGAGACCAGCATAAAGAATATATAAAAATGCTGCACATTAAACACTAAGCAATTTTTAAATTTTTTCTCATCTTTCTAGTATGAAATACCTTTCTAATGTTTTAAGATCAGACACTTCTGCTGTTGGAAATACATGAAAAGGTTATTATTACAAATAATGTAGTCTGACCTGTGAGTTGAGTATTTGTGATTACATGTTCGCTTCTGCATACATAAATAACTATTACAATTTAGTAAACTAAGATAACAAAATTTATAACTAGCAAACTTATGTTAATAAAAGACACGTTTGCACTTCGAGAGGAAGTGGTGGGCTGTCAGTCCGCGGAAATATGTTGATTCGGTGTTAAGTTGAATGGTACGGTAAGAACTCAAGATCACACTCTTTAACCTTTCAATGGACACACGGTCGGATCCAACTCGGGCGGTGTTCCGTCAAAATTCAAGCGGTCGGATCCGACCGCACCCACCCACAGCACTTTAACCCATAAATACTTATACTTAGAGATTACTTTTCTATGAAGAAGTTTGGCATTATAGAATCTATACGAAATTTTCTATCCTGTTATCTAAAGAAAAGTCAGTTACTCTATGTATTTTTATTTTTCTTCTACTTTCAATTTACGATATTTGCCGACCTAACGAAAATGGCACAATATTAGGGTAGATTAAAAATAAAACCCATAGAGATTTGTTTAGACCACAGGGTAGAGAATTTTGTATAAGTTCTATAATGTCAAACTTTTTATAGAAAAGTAGTTTGTAAATATAAGTTTAAATTGACAGTAGCATGAAAATAAAATACATAGAGTAACTGACTTTTATTTAGACCGCAGGATAGAGAATTTTGTATTAATTAAAATTAGTCTCTAAATATAAGTTTTAATGGTTTAAAGTGCTGTGGGTGGGTGCGGTCGCATGCGACCGCTCGGGATTTGACGGACGCGTGCGGCTGCATGGGAATTTTATAGGGATTGAAGGCTTAAAAGCTACTGTAAAGTTTTTACACATGTAGCTTACGTATAACATTTATAAAGTGCACTTATGTTGACCTTCGCGATTAATATACTTATAATAAAATTTTCACGAGAACAACGAAAGCAACAAAACAAAGCGAGGTACCCAATTTTCCAAGTAAGAAAATTGGCTGCCTCGCTTTTGTAGCGTGGGCGTGGCGTGGCAGGCGTGTTTGCAGAAGCGCAAGCAGATGACTTCTTCGCTATAATACGTAAAAGAGTGTATGTACTCCATAATAAGTTGAATGCGTAGCAGCCGATGCAGTATTCTGAACGTGTTTGCTGAACGATGTGACGAGCATAGCATATGCGAAATCAAAAAAGTATTGAAACGTGCTTAAACGTATTTAAAGAACTAACATTAGTATTTAATGTGTGCAATGTATTACTTACTAATTATATGGATCTCGTTCATAATTTATGTTAATATTATAACTTTCACTACTCATTAAAATTGAGTAATTCTTTTCAAATTTAAGCGTTTCAGAGACTGAATTTGATGTAATTACGACACAAAGAAAAAGTTTTAAATATTTCAGTCTCGTTTAAATACGAAACGAATGAACGAGGTTGTGTCTACAAATTATTTAATTAAAATTACTTCTTAACGAAAGAAATTTAACTTTCAATAAGTATGGAGTAACATTTTTAAATTGATATTATTTGATTGATAAAATTGTATTTTAATGCTGGTATTAAATTTCTAATCCAATTTGAAGATTTTGAGCCAAATAAAGCTAAATGCAACGATTAGGAGTTATATTTATATTGCATTACAATTTAAAAATATTATGACGAAACCTGTGTGGATAATGAAAAAAAAATAGTAAAAAAACATTATTCCTTATTACCAGAATCAGTTTTTTAAAATTATTCACCTTCAGTACCAAACCCCTTGGAATATACTTTTGACTCGGTACATTTCTGTTGACATATCAGAAATCTGTACGGACTAAGACTGCCTCACAACCTGTAACTTTACTGGCTATTTATATCCTTCAGACCGGAACACGGCAGTGCAAGCACTGCAATTGAACAGCAAAAATAATAGTAATAATAAAAATAATAATAAAATAATAATAATGGGTTTTGATATAATCAGGCGTTATTTTGCGGAAATCCATTATAATAAAGTAATTAATAGTTATTTTGCAACCATCCGCTAAATTAAATAAAATGATGTGTCTTCACTAGTTTGAACCCCGTGCACTAATCCCGTCACCACCAATCCCAGCAACACCACTCCCAATGCAACTACTCCCAACACCACTATTCTAGGAAGGACACACCATCGACGATAATACATCGTATTATCGAAATATTGCTGAAAAGAGGATTTTCCTGGGCACTCTGAAAAAAAGCAGAAATACCACCTTGTTTATTGCCGAACAAAAATAGATCGATAGAATGTTCATTGTACGTTTTACGAAAGACTATTCACTTTTATCATATGTGCCAAAACATAATAAAGCCGTTGATAGAATCAGGCGTTATTTTACGGAAATCCATTATAATAAAGATATTAATAGTTACTTTGCAACCATCCGCTCAACTAAAATGATGTGACTTACCTAGTCGCCCTCCCTCAATTGCGTGCGCTAATCCCGTCACCACTAATCTCAGCTCCACTACTCTCAACACGACTACTCCCAACACCACTATTCTAGAAAAAACACACCATCGACGATAATACGACACGTGTTTCGCCTCTACACGAGGCATCTTCAGGTCATGTAGACTCTACGGCGGCTGACCGCTAAGATCGCTAAGACGTCGCCGTACGTGAAGCACACAAAAATGATCGCTTCGGTTTTCTACAGGACGGATGATATTGCTACTGTGTTGCTTCAAGGTCAAAGAATTGTTAGCTCAGAATGATAAATGACAAAGTCAGCAATCCGAAACCACAATTACGCAGTACACGCCTGCGAGATCGATTTTTGAATGATTTTTTTATTCTACCTCACAGAAACAAGAACAATGACGAAAACAAAAACGAGAACGTAATAAAAATTTAATATTCTAAACCTAGGCAAAGTTGTTTTTATTTCTTGTTTAAAAAGTTTACATTAAACTAGGATTTTCTCCCAAATCGAGAGTTTTATTAGAGTATACATAAATTGCACTTACACAAATTCAAAACCGTCCACATCCAGGCCGAGAATAATTATTTTAGGTCATGCAAAATACTTTGTATAGCACAGCCAAACGTCAAAAGCTATTAATGTCTGTCCGTAATTTTTTACTTTTTAAATGTGGGGCAGTGTAACCCGGGAGTGAGACGTATCATGGTTGTAGTTTACTTTAGTGTTTAGGGAAAATCCCGTGACGTTTAAGTAAAAGAATGAAGTTACAGCCTACATACGTCCCACTTCCGGGCACAGGACTACTCTCGGTTTCTGATAGTTCTATATTTCCCTGACCCCCTATATTGGTGGTATGACTGCTGCTTAGGAGTGCGTCTGCGCAGGTTAAAACCCCTTACATTAGAAAGAAGGAAAAGTATAAAAAGCCAGTATAATTACAGGCTG